GTTTAGGGTGAAGGGGTTTAGGGGTCTAGGGGTCTAGGGGTTTAGGGTTTAGGGTTTAGGGTTTAGGGCTTAAGGCTTAGGGTTTAGGGCTTCAGGGTTTAGGGTTTTAGGGTTTAGGGTTTTAGGGCATTGGGTTTAAGGTGTAAGGTTGCTCGAGATTTACTGGGGTTGTCTGGGGCCTTCATTATGGGGGGCTTTAAGGCGTTTTGGGCTTTTTGGCAGGGTTTCTTTCAGGTTGCTTACACTGTAGGGATTTAATATAAGTCTCATAGGACTATAAGAGTTTCCACCAGGATTTTTGGGTGGTTTAGGGTGTGGCCACTGACAGCGGGTATGGGGCTTCTACAGGGGCAGCGGCTTGCACGCCTTATACGGTTGAGAGTGGGCGAGACATGGCTTCCTCAAGTCTCAGAGAGAAGGATATATCCCCTGCACCCTTGCGTCACAGGCCTCGGTCTGTGTGGACTTGTTGTGGCGAAGCCATGGTGGCAGGATGTATTCGGGTGTGATGACGAGCTTGCCACCCCTGATTTGGAGGTCAAGGACGGCATGCGCGTCAGATCAGACAGGCGGCTTGCTGGGCGGCGTCCCAGCAGCTTCTGGCAAGTCCGTCAACAAGAGTGATCGCCTTCTTTTGGCGTGCCACTAGCCTGCTCTCTTGATGAGGCCTCGCCATCGTTTGGGTCTGTCACATGACGGCAAGCCACCCATCCCAGTGTTCGAGGAACGAGGGGCAGGGGGGGGGATGGCCGAGATGCTCAAGAAGTGCCCAAGTGGCATCCGCCCGCGATGGGCTAACTGACGCAGAAGTTTTTGACGTTTCGGGCTGGTGGTTTTGAAGGTTTGGGGCTTAAGGAGTTTGGAAGCATGTATTTACATCAAAGTCTTCGATAGCTCTTGAATTGTCACGGTTGCACAAAGGATTTTCGGATGGCATAGTTATTGGGATGTTATTGATGTTGTTTTGGACCCGAACCCCTAAACTTAAACCCAAAGCCCTAAACCCCTAAACACCTACACCTGGAACCCTAAGCCTCAAACTCTAAAGCCAAAGGCAAAGCCCTAAGCCCTAAAACCCTAAGCCCTAAAACCCTAAACCCTAAACCCTGCTGGAGGGATCGGGGCTTAGGCTTTGGGACGGAGGAAACTTCAAGTTGGGGTTACAGCTAGGACCCCAAGGAACGATAGTCCTAAGCCCTGAAACCCGACACCCCAAAACCGGGCTCAGGATTTAGGGTTCAGGGTTTAGGGTTCAGGGTTTCAGGGCTTAGGGTTCAGGGTTTGGGGTTCAGGGTTTGGGGTTCAGGCCCTAAGCCCCAAGAGCCCAATCGAAAATATACACGAACGGCGCCTTGGGAAGGACCATCAGCGAGGAAGAGGAAGATTCCGATGACCTCGCTGGCCAGATATGGATAGTTCTCTAAACTATGGTCCCTTTTTCGGTCCCCAGAATAGTACGGCACCCTTAATAAAAAGGGCCCTAAAAGGGACCCTAATTGAGAGAACTACCCATATGTTTAGGGGCTAGGAGGGGTTTAGGTGCTCGGTGGGTCTAGCGTTCGGGGTCACTTCAAGGTTTGAGATAGCTTTTGTTGAGCTGTTCGTCTGTTCAGGACTTATGCGACGTGGTTGTTCCTAGATGGCTCTGTGAAGGATGTACGCACTCAAAAAAAATCCTGAAACGAAGCACCCTCTTTTAGTAGGCGTTGGTTTGATCGCGTCTTGAACTAGGAGTTCGCCCCCTCCTTGTAAGGCGCTAAGGTTGGGGCTTGTACGGCCACTTTGGACGTGGATCCTGATACTCACGACTAGCACCAAACACATGAGAGCCCTGTTCACCTGAACCCGAAACCCCAAACCCTAAACCCTGAACCCTGGACCCTGGACCCTAAACCCTAAACCCTGAACCCTAAACCCTAAACCCTGAACCCTGAACCCTAAACCTTGAACCCTAAACCCGGTTTTAGGGTTTAGCAAGGATTGATCAGGACTCCGGTGTCCAAGATCCTCCTAAAAGCCTCAAACCCTTCCAAACCCTGGGGCCCGAAAGCCCTCAAAATCCCACACCTGAAAACCTAAACCCTCAACACCCCAAACCCCAAACTCTAAACCCTAAACCCTAAATCCTAAACCCTAAATCCTAAAACCGTAAACCCTCAACCCTCAAACTCTAAAGCCTAGAGCTTAAACCCAAAACCCTCAAGCCCTGAAGCCCAGGAGCCCTAGTCCCAAACCCTGCACCGCGGTTTAGGGTTGTTTGTTGGTCTCCTGGGTTTGGGGCATCGTGGCTTTGGCTTCAATTATTTACCACGGCTTCGGCAAATGGGTTCCTTTAAGGGTTTAGTGTTTAGGGTTGACCCAGGTTTCTTGAACTATCCATATGTGTCACGCTTCAGTGGGGTTGACGGTTAAGGGGGTAAATTGGTTTTAAGGTTTGGGGGGTTTGGGATTTAGGGTTGGAGTAGGCTTTCTGGTCTGGGGCTTGTGATTTAGGGTTTGGGGTTGAGGGTTCAGGGTTTAGGGTTGAGGGTGTAAGGTTTAAGGTTTAGGGTTTAAGGTTGAGGGTTTAGGGTTGAGGCTTGAGGCCGGATGCCCACAAAACTGGATGGCAAGAGGGGACCGAAACAACCAGCATGAGCACAGAAAGAAATATCTGATACTAGGAACTGGCTTAACGAGGGAGAAAAGCCTAAACCCGGAACCCTAAACCCTGAACATAAAAACTCTGCCGTGAATCCTTGGAACTGGAATTTTCCGCACTCTGATTGCATCGACTCGCAATGCATGCGGTGCTACAAAAGACGGGATGCTTCCACTGTACACTCAATGAACCACGAGGAGCTCTTGCTTAGTAACCCTAAACCCTAAACCCTAGCTCTTAAACCCTAAACCCTACAGGGTGGGACTCTTAAAGCCTAACTCCTAACTCCTAAACCCGAACTCCCAAACCCTAAACCCTAGATCCTGGGTAACTACCTAAAGCCTAACTCTGAAGCTCCAAAACCCCGAACCCTCAAACCCTGAAGCCCGAAACTCTCTGAACCTGCAGTCGACCACAGGATCCCGAGTATACTCAGGGTTTAGGGTTTAGGGCTTTAGGGTTTGGGGTTTGGGGTTTAGGGCTTGGGGTTTAGGGTTTAGGGTTTAGGGTGTTTAGGGTTTAGGGTTTAAAGTTTTCTAAGCTACATTCCCAGATCTTCCAATACCCCTTAACTACAGGAATATACATACAATACAGAAATCCCAAATAATCACCCATATTCTTCCTCAGGTTTCCTTATTATAGTAATATAATTTCATGGGCCCCGAAGCCTTATTCTAATTACTAAAGCCCCTACGCCCAAGAGGTTCGCTAATATGATTTAAGGTATATTCCTTGTAATTCCGTTCTAGAGCCCTTATACATAGATCCTTTTAAGGGACCCTGCTAGCAAGCCTAACAGGTATAGTATAAACCCTAACTCTGAACCCTAAACCCTGAACCCTAAACCCTGAATCCTAAACCCTAAACCCTGAATCCTAAACCCTAAACCCTGAACCCTAAACCCTAAGCCCTCAACCCTAAACCCTAAGCCTCCTTAATTCACGGATATTGGAAGGTCGGGGTTCCTTGCTTCCGGAGGTTTCGAGTTCTCTCGTGGCCCTCGGCACCTTCGGTGCAAGGCGCCTTGCAGGCTCCTGTTTTAAGGCGACGTTGCGCAAGCTGAGCGGTTTAAGATTTAGGGCTTAGGGCTTTGAGGGTTTAGGGTTTCGGGTAGGAGGAGTACCTCGCAAAGTACACGGCTTGGCTGAAGTTGTTTTGATAGGAATCTACAGCAAGAAACAGCCATGTAGAGTGTGTCGTGTATGGTTTAAGGGATTCTGGTAGGGTTGGTTCGGTCCGTCAACAAGAGCCCAGGTTCAGGGGGCAAGATACCGGAGGAGATGGAAACTTGCTGGAGAAAGCCTTCCTCTTCCAGAGCTCGTACCGACCGTCCCGCTTGATCTCAAGAAGAAACTGATTCCTTAGTTTGCAAGTTGATAGGGCTATCATGCCACTTGTAGATCTTCAGTTTGTGAACCAAAGACCTAACACACATGCTACCCAGCAAAAAAAGCCAAAGTTGACAAACTCAGCTACTAGGATTCAGTTCTTGAAGTATCGCAGAACCTGCAGAGTTGTTTCTTGCCAAGTAAACCTTGTGGCTGTCGAAGGCCGGCATGTCTGGCAGAGCCATGCGGACACCTTTGTCTGAAAGACTCGAACCTGACTGTCCAGCATGGAATTCTGCCTCAATGCCATCGGTAAACATGACCAGCGGGTGCGCTCTGCACCTTACTGCCCCAATAGGCCAGGAAAATATAAGGTTAAACTTTCAGATTACTACTAAATGATAAGAACCCAAAAAGTTTAAAGGCTGGGTATTGGAGAACTAAGGCACTCTCGCAAGCATGCGTAGGCCTCCTGGTTGGTGGGAATGATGTTCAAACTGGGCTTCGTCAGAAAACCTTTCTCGAATAACTTGTGAGCATATCGCTCATTCGTGCCACCATGGTTCTCGATGATGCTGATACCTTCCTGATTTATGTCCTTAAAACGGTTGAAGTGATGCGCATTTCGAGAAGCAAAGAGGGGAACTTTCCTGTCAGCTTCCAGCGGTGCGGAGACGAGAAACTCCTCAGCACGGTCGCGAGTCCACGTAATGCCTCCTGCAGCAAGCAAACACTTCGTCTTGAGGAAGGCAGCCAGATCTGCCCATGGAGTGAGCACAAAGTTGATGGTGTAGTTGTGAGATGCTGCAAAGTGTTGCAGCACCTCCGGTGCCAGGCCCTCGAAACCACCTTTCTTGCTGAAGTGTGTGAGGGGTGGGTAGTCACCCGCAGTGCACACCTTAATGGAGCTCGGAGAATCGCCCGCAGCGAAGGCATCCAGCAGCTGTAGCGCACACCACACCCTCAGAAAAATCATATCCAGGCTGGGTGAACCTCCTCTTCTTGCCCACTACGGCTCTGGCTCGGGCCGATAAACTCTCTGTCCGGTTGGATCACACGAGTCACATGCCCTGAACTTGACGAATGCTGAAATACCCTAAACCCTAAAAACATACCTGCCACCTGAAAAAACCCTGAAGTCGCAAAGCCCGGGAACCGTAGTAGGTCCGAAGTCACAAAGACCACACTGTAACGCTTTAGGGTTTAGGGTTTAGGATTACTACACTCTCAAAGCTTTTGTTGTTGGTACTCCTGCAAACTGAAGCTCTGCTTGCTTGCAACAACCCTGTAATTTTAGGTCCTGCAGAGAACCCTCAGAATCACATAACAAACCTGAGAACCCTCAAAATCACATAACAAACCCGGAAGCTATAATAGCCGCAACTTTAAACCGCAATCAAACGTTAGAAACAAGCGTCTCATGCTTGTGTGGGACTTGTGCCCAGTTCTGTCACATGAGAGGCCCGAAGCGCCGCTTCCCCCACCCTAAATCCCTAAACCTTACCTAAACCCTCGAAACCCTAAGTTACTTTAGCCCTAAACCCTAAACCCCTAAACCCCTAAACCCTAAACCATAAAGCCTAAACCCTAAACCCATACACTACCTTTATGGATCCCTTGATCTCCAAACCATCGGACCCTAAGGAGCCCGCTCGGAGTATTCCTCCTCCAACTCGGCTGAGGCCTGCAGCCATTCGAGGTTCAGAGCCAGAGGTTCCTACAAGGGATCCATAAAGGTAGTATATGGGTTTAGGGTTTAGGGTTTAGGGATTTAAGGTTTAGGGGTTTAGGGTTTAGGGGTTTAGGGGTTTAGGGTTTCGGGGTTTAGGGCTTAAGGTTTAGGGTTTAGGGGTAGTATATAGGATCTATAAAGGTGCGGTCGATGATATAACTCCTGCATTACCTTAAGGACCCTAAACTATGGGAATTCTGGTATATTCCTTATTATGGGCAATGCAGGACTTATATCGTCAACCGTAGTATATGGGTAGTTTTCCGAATTAGGGTCCCTTTTAGGGTCCTCTTTATGGGGGTGCCGTACTAAGTTTGGGGACCTAAAGAGGGAGCCTGGTTTAGAGAGCTACCCGTATAGGGTTTAGGGTTTAATTACTGGCTTGAGGCTTAGGGTGTATATAGGGTCCAGGGCTTGGGTTTGATAGTTCGGGTTTGGGGTTTGGGGTTTAGGGTTTAGGGATTAGGATTTTGGATTTAGGCTGCGTGATTTGGGCTTGGGATTTAGGGCTTGGGGCTGACACCCAGAAACTTCGAAACCCCTTAGTGCTTTGGGGATGGCCCAAGAACCCGAACCCCGGCTAAAGCACTCCTATACCCCCGGCTTTGATACTCCAAGATCTAGCTTTCGCTTCAGAGGCTTAGGGTTTAGGGTTTAGGATTTGGGGTTTAGGGTTTCGGGTTTTGGGCCTTAAATAAAAACCCAATTCAAGAACCTCCTATCAACCCAAGCTCGCGCCGAGAATCCCCAAGCTAGGCCTGCACATAGACCGTGAGCACATGCCCAAGCATTGAGACTTACACCCAAACTCGACAAACGTGAACCGTACACTCTTCAACCACAGAATTGATTATATGGAGCCCCAATACTACAGAGCTCGTGTTGTTGAGCCTTTGTAGAACCCCTTTAGAACCCTTTCTGAGTCCTAGCCACAGCACCTAGAACCAACCCGTGCAACCCTAAACCCCGAAACCACGCCTTCGGTGCCGGTTGTGCTGGTGCTGCCGAGGCTACAGGAGCAACAGCCGATGCAAAAGGCGAGATGCCTGCGTCAGTTAAGGCCTTCTTGGAGGGTTTAGGGTGATTTATGGGTTCGGGCTTTGGGGTTCGGGGTTTAGGGTGTATTGGGTCAACCTGCACACTTAGATAGAGTTCAGGGTTTGGGTTTAGGGCACATCAAGATATGTAGGATATGGCTGTCTTAGAGACAACTGTGCAGCCTCTTACCGAAACCCATGTCTTGAATCCTAAAGCCCCGTTCCTTGAGCCCTCGACTCTGAACGCTCTTTTCCAAGGAGCCGGGACCAATCAAGGGAACGCTGTTAAGTATGGTAGGGTTGTGTGTATTACTCCAAGCCCCTGATTGGTATCTTTGTGCCGGGGCCTGCGGATTCGAATCCGGATTACAATCTGTATTCCGGAAGGGCTTAGTTACTCAGTCCTCAGTGGTCTAAATTACACAAATGGCCCCAGACCCTAAACCCTAATCCCTAAACCCTGGTCAAGTGGCCTCTGGAACCCTAAGGAATAATGTTGCTAGCTGCTCAGGTCCCCTTTCCCGGCGTCCTAAGACCCTAAACTTCCCGAAAACCCTTGTACACCGCTCTGCCTCCCAAAGAAATCCTCATGCAACCACACCAAATCCCGACAAAAGGCCCGCCACGACCCGCAGGCCCTAAACCCTAAACCTCAAGCCAGCCCCTTAAACCCCCCCTGAAATCCTAAACCCTAAACCTAAACCCTACAAACCCGAAACCCTAAACTCCCCCAAAAAACCCTAAACCCCAAAACCACCCCCTAAAACCCCTAAATCCCAAACCNNGGGTTGGGAGAGTTTAGGGTTTAGGGTTTAGGGTTTAGGGTTTAGGGTTTAGGGTTTAGGGTTTAGGGTTTAGGGTTTAGGGTTTAGAGCTCACCTGGACCCTGAAGAACCTACATTTGGCTAGTTTTCTAAATTAGGGTCCCTTTTTGAGGTACCCAATATAGTACGGCACCCTCATAAAAAGGATCCCCCAAAGGTACCCTAATTTAGAGAACTACCCATTTTTGTTCAGGACTTAAAGAAGGAAATCATGATAAGGAGCCCTAAAAACAGGTAGGTTCTTTTGGGCCCAGGTAGCCTTTCGGGCTTAGAGTTGAAGGTTTTTGGGTGTTGATGTTTCTGGCCAGGTTTAGGGGTTTTCCAAATTCTCCAAGCCCTGAGCCCACGGCCCGAGACAGGCTTCAACCCCAAACCCGAGACCCCGAACCCTAGGCCCCCGGACCCCCAAACCCTGCCGAACAGCACCCTTCCTAAACCCTGAACCCCCAAACCCTTACCCCTGAGCCCTTACGGGAACCTTTTCTAGAACCCTTTAAGGAACCTTAAAGGAAGCCCGATAGAACCCTGGAAGGAACCATGTAGTTAGGACTAGGGGGACCCTTGGGCATGTAGACCCTCTCACTAAAGCCCCTTTTGAGAGAGCCACAAGTAGGGTTAAGAAGGGTCCCCTTTAAGGGGTCTCCCGAATCCCCTAAACCCTAAACCTTAAACCCTAAACCCTAAACCCTAATCCCTAAATCCCTAACCCCTAAACCCTAAGGGTCGTCTCCCTAATGCTGCCTAGGAGAAACCCGGACAGGTTGCAGCGACGAGTTGAGGCCGCGGCAGCCACGTCGCCCACACTCGAGTAAGAGCCTCTGCCGGGATGCGCACGGAATGTAACCCTCAACCCGAAACCCTAAACCCTACACCCTAAACCCTACACCCGTTAATCCTAAACCCTAAACTCTAAACCCTAAGCCCTAAACGCTACACCCTAAATCCTAAACCCTAAACCCTATCTATATCGGCTCTTTGGTTCAAGGCAACGGGTTCAGGGCTCAAGGGGTGTCTACAGGGGCTCTACAAGGGCTTTAGAGGACGGTTCCAATGAAATAGTGGAATCCTTTCTGAAAGGATTCCACTCAACACTCTCCCGAACCCTAAACCCTGATAAGTACCGAAGAGACGTTGAATAGACGAGATTTGGTTCTCTTTCTTCGGACACCGGAACATGCTGGCATTGAACTTTGCTTATTTACCATGTCGTTGTCCTTCGAAAAGATGCTGACTCCACCAACTTAGCGAGCTCTTCATCCATCAAATCCTGCACCGTGTCGTCGGTCGTGTTCACCACCAACAAGGCTTCTGAGGAAACGAAGTTGGCTGCTGAACCACTGGCACTACGGTCATGCGGTGAGTTGTCACCACCTGGGTCACGCTCGTCCTAAACCCTAAACCCTAAACTCTAAACTCTATCTGGAGGGTTAGGCTCTTGGACGTCATCATCTTCGGTAGAAGTGGTCTCGCGGTCGCACTCTTCCGAACTTCTCACCGGAAATCTCCTCATTGTAACCAGCCATGGTCTTGGGTGGCGTGACTAGAAGTTATCAACGCTCGCAGAAAAGCAGTGCTCAGAACCGCTACTTGATACCTGCCCAATCCCATATGGGACAATCTCATTGTTCCCTCTGCTTCAGCGCCTGTCGCGGGACGATTTTCGCCACGGGCTAGCTCATCTGCCCACTCGTTCCAAGCCTCTCGCCTTCAACATCCAAGTCTTCCAATGTGCATCTTTCATCAGCGCCTTCGCAAAGGTTGTTGTCAAGCCAGTCTTCAACGCGCTGGCACTTTGTCTCGCGCCCAGCAACAGCAAGCCGTGTGACCATGCGCGCGCGCCACCGTGTGTGAATTTTGCGCATAATTTCGTGCCTGCCCAGCCGATAGTATCGTCTCGAACTATAACCCACAACCAAAGTGCAAACACTGCATCGGATACTGCACCGTGACCCACGAAAGCCGTGTCCCGGGTAACAAGCCTTAAAACTTGCTAGGTACTACAGCCCTGCTAAAAACTGCCGATAAGATCTAATCTTGGAAATCAAGTACACAGACCCTCAAGTGCCCGCATATATGACAACCCAACACCCCAAACCCTAAAGACTCAACCCTGGTCGCAAAGCCGTAAGCCCTTAACCCTAAACCCCAGTCCCGAAACCCTAAACCCTGAACTCTAAACCCCAATTGCGAAACCCTAGACCCCAATCCCGAAACCCTGAACCCGAAACCCTAAACCCTAAACCCGAATCCCGAAACCCTCAACCCTAAACCCTAAGCCCTAAACCCTAAACCCGAAACCCTAAACCCCAATCCCGAGACCAGGCCCTAACTCGCAGGACCCTGAACCAAAACACATCGAAACTTATAGCAACTAGGTTTCCCA